CCCTTATGCCACCACCGGCCCTGGGAATGGTCACAACTAGGTCTTATTTTCGGGTTAGGTCTTATATTTTAGCAATTCGGAAAAATAGTACTAGGTCTTATTTTCGGGGAAACAGGGTAGTAGTAAAAATATGAATTAGCTGTATGAGTTTGGAATAAATGGCTCTATAATGTTAGGTTATATTTGTACTTTACCCAAGTGGTTCTGGATGTACATCTGGCAGATGGGGTATAAAGGCGGCAGATGGGGTGTAAAGGAATAATTTGCATGGCCCCGCCCCCTGCCTTTAAATGAGGAATAATCCTCTTATTTTTAGGATGTGTGATGGAATAAGTCATGTGACACCTTCTGTTCTAAGATGACTTTACGGTGCTACACACTGATTCCGTCAGAGGGCTTTTTCATTCCTTTAGTTCCTTCTTGCTATAACCTGTATGATTATACTGTCTACTTATAATAATATATATCACTGATGATAACATTTGTTTTTTTTAACCTTTTGATCTCATTGGACAAGTTTTGTACGGTCAGGCTTCAAACAATAGTAGTCGTGAGCTTGTTTCTATTTTGTGCAGCAGGCTTAGGTAGAAGTGATCTAGGTGGCTGTATAGCTGCCTGAACACTTTTACGTGACTCATGGGTGATGCCCTCCTACCCCCAGAGGTGCCAGCAGTGGGATGAGGTTGGGGGCAAATTCCCACATGCACACTCTAAAATCTTTTGGAAAACCTTACTAGTAGAGTGGAGACTAGCAGACATACTTTATCCCGCCGGTGGACGTCACCTCCTCTATCTGCCGGCGTCCATCACCAAGATGGCTGCCGGCAGGTAACAGCTGTACAGCGCATGACGTCATCACGCGCATGCGCGATGACGTCACTGCGGTGTATCACCCGGTACTCGCACCAGGTGTCACCCCGCCTCGGGACGCCTCTGCGTCCTCACTTCCTATACACTGTGTATAGAGTGTGATGATTTACGGGACCTTAGAACGCTGCAGTGGAGGGGGAGAGAGTCTCCAGAGACCGGTCTAAGATAAAGCCGACTCTGACGATCAGTTAAGTATAACTTTGCTATTTTCCTTCCTACATCAAAACAAGCACTTAACCCGTGCAGTGCAGGGGGTTGCCCCACTGCAGGGGTTAAAGGAGAACTACGGGGTTAAGTATTTTCCCCATAGTTCTCCTTAGGGTAACGGGAGGACACAAACCAGCGTCCTCCCGTCACCCTAGGCTCAGTATACCGCGAGCTGTAGCTCCCTATATACTGAGACGCCGCAGCTGAAGCAGATCCCGACAATTGTGCCGGGATCTGCCCAGCTGCGTGACTGACAGCTGGCTCTGCCTATCTAGAGGCCGAGCCAGCTTTACCCGCACCCTCCCCGTCCATTCCGCCAGTCAGCGCTGGCGGATAGGGGAGAGGGGAATCCAGCCCCTCCTCTGTCACGGCAAAGAATCCCGCCAGTGAGCGCGGGCGGATCGGGGAGGGGGGAATCCAGCCCCTCCCCTGTCACGGCAGAGAGCCGTGACAGGATGGGGAGGTGAGCGAACGCCAGTATGTGTTTGCTCACCTCCCGATCTACTGAGCCGACCTGTGACAGTCTCATTGTCACAGGTCGGCTAGAACTATGAGGTGAAAAGCACTCCCCTCATAGTTCTCCTTTAATAATAATTGTCCCCGGTGTTCTTTAAAGAATTATAATAATGGATTGAAAATACTTCATGAATTAATATTTAACACACTGGTTCATTAATTAAATGAGCAATTAATTAATAATGATTACATTCTAATATATTAACAAGCTCTTTTTTTATCATGTTGTAAAATAATTTGTCTTTTTAATTTACTGTTCATTAGGAAACTGTTTATATCAATTAAATTAAAATGATAATTTAGTTACTGTTAGAACACTATTCGTCATATAAATAATAATTCTCGGATATATCAGAGAATGTTTTGTAGCCAATTCTGACGTTAGCTAAACGCCTTGCTTCAGGAATTCGGCAAACGTGATTGTCATTTAGAAAGGTGACTGAAGCTTTGATTACAGAAATAATCACATATAATTAAGTGGATGTAGAAAAAAAAGACATAAACATATTTGATCCATTAGAAAGAGGCAATTTAATGTCTAGCACAGGTTACAAACAAACAAACAAATAACTAAATAAATAAAATAAACCAGCGTTGGATTGTATTGTATTGTATTGTAAGTATTGTATTGTAAGTATGATTATGGCATGACAAAATCTAGAGGGTTATTCACTTGCCTGCCGAAGGATCTAGCCATAGCGTTGGCTGATCCTTCGGCTTGCTTTGGCCCCTGGAACCCTTCGGTCAGTGAATAGCCCGTACAACACCCGAAGGCAGCCAAGCCAAACGCCAATGCTTCGGTTCGGCTAAACTGTAGTCACAGCCAAAGCGGAGAGAAAGGTCTCTCCTATCTTTCCTACCAGATTTAAAGGTTCTGCTATGGTTTGGGAGGGGGACTTTCCTTTACATTTTGTTTTTATTATTTTTTTTAACATTTTTATTTCTTTTTCTTTTTTTAACATTTTTTACAATTTTCTTTTTTTAACATTTTTTTTTAAATTCTGCTCACTACCTCTGAGGTAGCAAGCAGAATAGCCAAGTCGAATGCCGCTATTCGCGCACTGCCGTTCGGTCCCTATGAGAATAGGCGGCGAACAGCAGCGAGTGAACTGCCGGAGCTTCAACACTTCGGCCCAGCCAAACATGCTGGCGAAGTGTTGAAGGCAGATTTTAGCCGATGTATGGCTGAAGTCAGCCATACAGAGCCGAAGTGAATAGACGAATGCCGGTTGGCTCAGTTCACTTTGGCTCGGTTATGGCATGCTTAGTGAATAACCCTCCTAGTCTATAACTAAGAAAACTATAACATTTGGAATTTTGACCAGCAATATAAAAAAGTTTATTTTTTAAATATCCCCCGTGTATTTACAGCCATGTGAAAAAGTAAGTACACCCCTTTTTAATTGTTTTCAACATATCTAAACAAGCAAACACCAGATTTTCATTTAAATGGTGCTTACAGATTAAGGTGATACGCTTGAACAATTGACACATAAAACTGACATGGTGCATCTAAATGAAAGAAAATGCAGATTTGTCACGTTGAAGAAGTAAGTACACCCCTATATTCACCACCACATTAAATCCATAAAATCTGGTGTTCCAGATTAGGTGCCAATAATTTGAGCCTCCTTAGGGAATTTGTACGTGTCTTATTTAAACCTCAGATATCTAGGGTTTGGTGTTCTCTTTGCTATGGACGTGTCTGCTGTCATCATGCCAAGATCAAAAGAGTTCTCTAAGGCCTTCAGAAAGAAGGTTGTGTATGCCTATGAGTCTGGCAAGGGATAAAAAACAGTAAATCACTTTTTCACTGTAAGGAAAATGAGCTACAATTGGCAAAGATTTCAAATTTGTCCAGGATTAGCCGGCCTACTAAATTCAGCCCAAGAGAAGACAGTTTGATGCTAAAAAAGGTTTCCAAGAACTCGCAAATGTCACTGCAGGGCCTGCAGATAATCCTTACAATAGTTGGTGTCAAAGTGCATGCATCTATAAGAGACTGCACCAATTTAAACTGCATAGATAGCGTACTAGGAAAAAGCATTTCTTGTCCAAAAAACAACATTAGAGTAGGACTGCAGTTTGTCATTGACCATATAAGGAATACAAGGCCTTCTGGAACAACATGCTGGGGTATGATGAATCAAATGTAGAGTTGTTTGGCCACAGTAACAACATGTTTGGTGCAAACCAAAGACAGCATATCAGGAAAAGAAAAGCATACAAACTGTGAATCACAGTAGTGGAAATGCTATTGTTATGGCTTTTCTGCTTAAGGAGAACTATGGGGTTAGGGCTTTTCCCCATAGTTCTCCTTAGGGTAACGGGGGGACACAAACTAGCATCCTCCCATCACCCTAAGCTCAGTATACTGCGAGCTACAGCTCGTGGTATACTGAACATTGAAGCCATTGAGACACTGTCTGGTTTCAGAATTTTGGCAGGCAAGTCATGAATCCTTTTAGGTGGGCTAGGAAAGGGATTGTAAGGAAGATACCTGTGACCTTGGTGGTCTCCGATATTCACACATGTGTGCGTGCGTGTGCGTCCCCCTATGCGGCATGCCTTTCACACCTGTGACCTCTTAGCCTCTGGGTCATCATGGTTTAATCCAATGTGACGTATGGCCTATCCATTTCTTTTGGGGTTTGGCACTTTCTGGTGACCCGCACCCTCTGATCCACCCCCCCAGGTTGGTCACAGAGACCTTTGCTCCTGACCCCTGATTCCTTTGCCTGCCCTATTTAAAGGGATCTTGTCCTTTGCCCCCTTGCCCACTATATAATTAGCTTTGCTTTGTGGGTATGTCAGCTGTTTGTTTCTCTTTGGATTTTCAACTTGGCCTGACCCTCGGCTTCTGCCACTTTGCTGCCCTACTTGAACTACGGTTTAGTTTGCTGACTTATCTCACTCAAGGTTCTCAATTATTTTCTCTGTTTTGTCTCCCTGGTTTTTTGACCTCTGGCCTGTGACTGACTACTCTATGGATAAGCATGTGTGTACTATGTCCTGTCTGCCAGCAAGGTATCACATGGTTCGTTGTCTAGTTTTTCTAGCACCACAACCCATCAGAGGCCCTGGCAAAGACCTGATAACCATCCATGTTGAGAGCTTGTCTTCTGACAAGCTTGCAGTGACTAGTGCTCTTCTTTGCTCCTTGCCCTGCCCCAGTCACTGGTCTTCATGGGATCATTACAAGGAGTGGTGCATCAGGGCTGAAAATTTTAAAGGAACTGAATGACACTATTGAGTCATCAAATACCTATTAACCCTTTCTCAAAGCATTCCTCAAAGAACTCACCCTATTCGGAAAGCAAATGGAAATCTAACACAGCACTATACACGTGTATCTAATAAACTGTCCACTGAGTATACCCAGAAATACCAGCCATCATAGTACTTACATGAACAGCAGAGTCCTTGCTTTCCCAAGCCGATCAACATGTTCAGGCAGAGATTGCAGTAAGCAGGTTTGTTAAAGTGCTTCAGCCTCCACACATGTTGCCCATCGTCTTTCACATTCTATAAAACAAATTAGATGTAAAACCTAACTGAATGACATTTATGTTTCTAAAGCACTCTATGGTGTTGATTTATAAAGGCAGACAGGCTGTTCACTTTGCAGGTAATTTTCCCTTAGCATGGTGAATGAGGTGAAGCTCTGCTGACTTCCATCAGCCAATTGTGCAATCAAGAATACTGTTTTTTCCCCCAGAATGTAGTTGGGTATTCTTACCACCTTTTCTATTAACAATGTTATACATTTTTAAATATAAATAAAATACAGTTTTAAACATGTTTCATCCATTTTCCTATCTCTCCTGCAGTCACTTCCTGTCTACAAGCACTGGCTCCAACAACTATTGACCATTGTAATTTTTCAGGACTGACTTCCTGTTGGTGACAACAGTAGATTATGCCTATGCAATCTGTGTTGGCAGAGCCACTTGTAGTCTCCTTTGGCATTAGACAGGGTGACAGCTCAGAAATAGGAAACAGAGCATTGTCACCACATTATCATTATTAGCGCCAACAGTATGTGCAGCACATTACAAAACTAAGGGAGACAGTACAGTTGCAATACAATTTCAATACAGGAGGGTTAGGAGGGTCCTGCTTGTGAGTGCTTACAATCTAGTAGGAGGGGCAAGTGATACAAAAGGTAATAACTGTTTGGGATGATTTAGGCCTCATTCACACTGTAATCGGCCGTTTCGAGCAGTTCCCGAGAAGGACAGGTGCAGCGTGTGATTAGTATGCAGCCCCTGTCCTTCTCTATGGGACTACGCGGCCGTACGCCCCCCTACGCTTACCCGCCTTGAACGTCCATGAGGGTGCGGGTGAGCATACTTGTACGCTGACAGGATGGATGCTGTCTGCATCCATGCCAGGAAACACGCACCCCTACGGACCTGCACTTGAGTTGAGCCTAGGGGGGGGGGCGTACAGCCCGCCGAGCGCCCCACAAGGCACTGCGCACCGCACAGTGCCTTGTGAAGCCTTGATTGGGTAAAGCAATGCACCTGACAAAGAAGTTTGGATGTAAATGGGAGCAAGGAGATGGGTCTTGAATTGCTCGAGATGCTTGGGAGTTACAAGATGCTTGCTTTAGAGTGGTGGGGGCAATGCCATTTAAAAGGGAGAGATTGAAGATCTGAATAAGAGAGTGTATAATAGAGCTATAGAGTGACCGGTGCATTTGTAAGGGGATGGGGGTTCAGGGAGCAGGTGGTTAGGTGGGTGTTAGACAAAAGAGTGGTAACTTTATCTGAAGAAAGTATTTCATGTGGTAGACAAGGTGTGTTCAGAGGGGGAGGACATTTTAGAACAAATTGCATCAATCTTGTCTTTGAAGTGATTGGTGATCTTCTGGGTAGTAACAGGTAGTGTTTGAACAAGGGCAGGTATTATTTAATAATGAAAATGGCTTTTAAAATGACATTCAAATGTTAAAGTTTCTATGAGCTTTTAATGATCGCATGTACTTAAACACAGGCTATTGTGTATTTTTTAGCTTTTATCACTTTCTCGCATTTTTTATACATTCAAGATAATATTTCATACACAGATATGTAGGTTAGCATTTACAAGCAAGCTTCAAACAAAGACATAATACCATATCCGAAAAAGTGCCGAATTGGGAAGTGTAATATATACTACAGACCCTCTACGAAAAATGCCAGCTATAAAGTTCTTGCCATTAGATAAAATGCTATGGCAAGAGCTATGACACCAAATTGCTTGTGGCGATTCAGAGCCTGTGTCTGAGTGAGCTTTTGCCAGCATTGAATTCATTGTGTTATGTGTTACAGTATACCTATATCAAAATAAATTTGAATAAGAATAAAAAAGCATCCACAAAACTACTTATTCTGAATTGGATTCAAGGGTCTGTCCGCACAAAACTGGTATGTCAGGTTTTGAGAGAAACTAGAGAGTTTGGTCATTCACTCTTTTCTACTAACTCCTGGGGACCAGGTGGCAGGAGGTCCACTCTCACGGGGGGGTAAACCTACCCAACGCTTTCTATATTCTATATTATGAAGAAGGCAGCAGGAGGACTAAGACTCTCTATGCTTCAGCAGGAAGTTTCCAAGGGAGTCAAAGCCATAAAATGGAGCCAAGAGACCTCAACCTCGGAGACCCAGAGAGATATAAAAGCCTGAGTGTAATTAAACTCACACAGCTAACAAAAATTGAAATTGAAGATTTGGTGAGCAGGCCCTTTAAACTGATGTCATATAAAATATAAACACCTTGGTAAATATATATAGAGGTCTTAAACAAAGAATTCACTTTAGTAAAATTCAAGAATTTCTTGGTCTGCATATGCCATCTAGTGGACACAAAGTATAGACAATTATAAACAAACCTCATGCAACTGCTAAGAGAGTACAGAGAGATTTTGAGGAAATTGTGTTTCCTACAAAATTTGCGCCTTGTTTTCACTGAATTGAAAGGCTCCGTCTACCTAAAAGTAATATTTTAGTAACAGATTAAAGTCTATCTCTGGGGACAAAGCTGCCAATGCAGTGGGACTTTGTAAGTGTTAAATGCTTGTTTAGGTCTAGGGTATCGGGTAAAGCAAGGTTTTACTTAGCTGATCCCCACTTCTCCGACAGACATCGCTCACCTTGTCTCCCCTACACTCCAGCTTGCAGACTGTCCCTTGGCGTTCTTATGTATAAAGCATAGCTATGGGAACTGCATTGTACTTGATGATGTCAGCGGGCCTCCCACCAAAAGGCTCCAGTTGCCGGTCCTGGAGCATGGAGGGAGCCTGCGGGAATGGGGATCAGGTAAGCAAAAGTCCTTTTCCTTTTCCCAATGCACGGGCAGATTTATTTTTCAGAATTTAGAATGAAGCCGTTTTACGTTTTGGATACATCTAAACTGAGATCTCTCTGCCATTATTTCCAACTCTGTTCCTGGTAGTTTTTTGATGTTCCTGCACATCTTTGTGCATTTCAGCTCACCATAATATAAAATCTTAACAAAATACAGCAGAGAGTGAAAATCCTTTACTAACAGAGTTCCTGAGAGATCCAAAAAACCGTCAGGGGGTTTTATTCTCCAGAGTCTACCAAACACTGAAAAATCACATTGGGTAACTGACCCTTAAGTTACCACAAAACCAGCAATTGGAACAAATGCCATCAACATGAACAGGACAAGAGGGATTAGCTTGTGTCACAGCACTAGGTTGAGATTTCAGTGGGCTTATGCAAAAGGCGCAGCTGTAGGCTGAAGTTTGAGGGGATGAGGATAGATTTCACTGGATGGCGATGCCTCAGATGAACCTCATTATCTGGTGCCCACAAATGGAACGATGACAACAAAAGCCAACAACCACCACCACATTTTTTGGTGCCGACAGAAGGGAAATGTGATAGTGGTAGTTATATTTGATGTGGGACAGGCACATCATATATAACAGCTTCATATTTTTTTCTTGTACCGTGTGCCTGGAGTTGTCACTTCAAGCCCTCAGTAAAAAAAACATTACAAAACATGCAACAACGTACATTTTCTAAGCCAAGCAGAACGAGAAGAGGAATTGTAGTCATTCCTCCTTGAATCCACTCTTCCAGGGATACCGTACCATCATGGTCATAATCAATCTCCTCCATCATTTCATGGAGAATCTACAGCATGAAAGAAAATTGAATGAAAAAAGCAGTAAGTAGATCTGTAACAAATCTAAAGAACACATGGTGCCACAGTACCAGCCTGCTTCCCTCAAGTGCTGTTGGTGGCCCCAGAAAACCCACACTTCTAGATATGGGGAAACATGCATATTACCTCTTGCTTCCCATAATGCAGTGCCTGAGTGACCTATTGCTAGGATTGTGGGATGGGTGGTCAAGATGAGAGAGGATTGCCTAATCCTATGCAAATAACTTTCAGAAAGTTGTTTTTTGTAATGGATCTTCATGGGACACCAGAGGCCAGCTGACATTATAAAGATAGGATTCACATTACCTCTTGTTTTCCGTAATGCAGTGCTAAGTGCCTAAGTAACCTATCTCCGGGACCAGGAGACGTCACATGGTTGGCCTAGAGCAGGGGTAGGCAACCTTGGCTCTCCAGCTGTGCTGAAACTTCAAATCCCATAAGGCATTGCAAGCCACAGGCATGACTCCCAGAGGCAGAAGCATTATGGGATTTGTAGTTTCAGCACAGCTGGAGAGCCAAGGTTGCCTACCCCTGGCCTAGAGAAAAGAGGATTGCCTAATCTAATGCAAATAACTTTTAGAAAGTTGGCATTTGTATAGGATTTTCGTGGGGCACCAACAGCGTCTAGGAGAGGCCTGTTGGCACTATGAAGAAAAGATGTTGCTCCTTACAAATATAAATACTTTGTTTTATGTGAACATCGTACAGGTTTACTTTAAAAGAGAACTATGGGGTAAGTGTTTTTCCCCATAGTTCCCTTAAGGGTCACAGGGGGACATAAACTAGCGTCCTCCCGTGACCCAAAGCTCAGTATAGATAGTCCATGGTCCCATCGCACTCCTGACTCACTGTATGTTTTACCTGATGAAGGGGATCCTTTGAGACCCCGAAACGTTCGTTGTTTTTTACAACGATGCATGTCAATAAATAGACGTATTTTGCAAATTTGGAGTGCCGGTGTCTCTGCTTTAGTTCCAAAGCTCAGTATATCGCGAGCTACAGTTCCAGGTATACCATGACCACCGCAGCCACGGCGGATCCCGACATTACTGTCAAGATCCACCCAGCTGCGTGAGTGACAGCTGGCTCTGCCTATCTAGAGGCAGAGCCAGCTGTACCCGCCCCCTCCCCTGTCCGTTCCTCCAGTCAGCGCTGGAGGATCGTGGCGGGGAGGGGGGGGAATCCCTGCAGGGAGCCCTGACTGACAGTCAGGGCTCTCTGCAAGGATATGATCGAGAAGTGAGTGAGCGATGGTATGTGTTCGCTCGCTTCCCGATCTATTGAGCCGACGTGTGACAGTTCCATGGTCACGCGCCGGCTCGAACTATGAGGATGAGTGATTTTCACTCGCCTCATAGTTCTCCTTTAAACAAACAACTCAAGTGGATTCATATTAGCTATGTAAACAGTCTCACCAGATTGGTGGAATAAGGGCCTGTGTTGATGGGCTATGGTCTTGTGCACATTGGTGAAATGCAGCTTGCTTCAAGGTGAATTCTGCTTGCATTTGAGATCAGTTTGAGACATTCCTGGGATCATTCATTGTCCATTGACCTGTCTCAAGGAACATCAGAGGTCCATGATATATATCAGCCCAGGTTGCAGGGCACGTGACACTATAGGAGAATCTTGCTTAACACCATCAAGCAGACTGACCCTCCTCTACTAGGCCACCAACTGACATTTGGCATACATCTTTGCAAAGCTAGGGTGATGGGCAGAAAGGAAGTCCTCATAACCTATTGGCAGGGCTACTACAAGAAGGTGAATTACATCCTATTACACACAAGCTAGGTAACCAGTATGGAAGGCAAACTAAGGACAAACATAGGAGAACATTTGGAAAGTAGGCATTCGTTACTTACCGGGCTGAGCTCCGTGATGTCCCATTCCAAATATTCAGCCACATGCATCATCTGGGAGATTATACATTCTAACTCCTGCAAAACAAACAACAATAAAAAAAAAAAAAACAAAGAAAATTATAAATTAAATTATATCTACAACACGTTTAACTATATTGACTTTTTCTTGGATAAAAAAAATAACTTAAATGGTAAGTGATGAAACAATAACACAGCATTAGTGCAAAGTATGTTCTAAAAAGGA